TATATATATATATACACACACATATATATATATATATAATATAAATATTTTTTAATACTTGTCATTCAGCAAGGATACATTAATTAAGAATACATTTGGAAAGGCGCTATATAAATAAAAATTATTATTATTATTATTATTAAATTGATTAAAAGTGACAATGAAGACTTTTACATTTTTTTACAAAGATTTATTTAAAATAAATGCTGTATAATAAATACATAATAATATTTAATATATAATATAAAAATAATTTTCCCGCATTCTATTCATCAACGAATACTAAAAACAGTGTTTTCAACATTAATAATAACAAATGTTTCCTGATCACCAAATCAGCATATTAGAATGATTTCTGAAGGATCATGTGACACTGAAGACTTGAGTAACAATGCTGAAAATCCAGCTTTGTGTCACAGGAATAAATTACATATTAAAATATATGAAAATAGAAAACATAAAAATGTTAATATTATATCACAATATTACTGATCATTAAATATATGAAAATAGAAAACATAAAAATGTTAATATTATATCACATTACTGATAATTTTTTTATTTTAGTTGTAGGGCACAAACATGCAATCACAGATCTCTCATGTAATATATTGTATAAGCTTTCCTGTGCATATATTGGCTATTTAACAATCACTGTGCAGGCGAAACAATCCGCTTTATGATTTTTGGTGTTAGAAAAGCCTCTAGGAGCAGGAACACTTTTCTAATGCATTTATAGTCCTTCGACATAAGACTATGCGTAGACTAAGAATCAGAGTCCTAAAGTGTCTTTATGGCCGGGGCATTTCCTCTGGTCCCGCTGATGGATGTGTGGACACAGCGTTCAGGGAAGTGGGCCCAGATAAAGGTCTTCCTGCAGGCCACAGATAGCAGCAGCCCAGCCTACAGTCCTCTGATGGTGCCGGGGCTCTGGAGGCGGTTATCAGAGCTGGACGGCTCAGATTCTGATCACTGTCCTCAGCCGTGGAGAGAATGAGGAGATAACATCAGCCGTGATACCGTGTGGGGGTGGATTCATTCAGCCCTGGTCCAGGGTTAATAAACTTGTGTCCCTTACACTCACTCTTCCAAAGTATTACTTGATTGCTTTGTGCGTCTTTAGAAGGGAAACCAATCACGGGTCAGTGCTCATGGAACTAACTCTTTAATTGATTAATTTGTTTAGCAGATTAATCCGTATGTTCTTTTGATCCTTTAAGGATCCTAACATCTGTTTGTTATTGCTGATTCAACTGTTTTTAATCCAATTTTGTCCTTTTTAGCTAATTGGGAGAGTAGTTAAATGTAGTGAACTGAACCAGCCTGTTCATTCCCAACCTCGACATAAAAGAGAGTCGTGTACAAAATGCTGATATAATCAAATTGAAAGTTTATTCAAATGTATTCAGTCAACCGGCAATGAAGACTGTAAAGATGTCTAGAGGATAAATGACAAAGGAAAACAGAAATGAACAGAACTATTGCAGAACTTTATAAAAATTGCTTAAGGTGTGTTTGGTGTGTTTTCTGCAGTCTACCCAGATGGCCGTGTGTGTATCTCAATCCTGCACGCTCCTGGTGACGACCCCATGGGCTATGAGAGCAGTGCTGAGAGATGGAGTCCCGTGCAGAGCGTGGAGAAGATCCTGCTGTCTGTGGTCAGCATGCTCGCTGGTCAGTCAACGTTTACTCAGTCAGTGAACGATCACAATATGTGCTGTATTGATCATATTTGCGTAGAAGTGGTTTCTGAAATCAAGAAGCCTTAATATTATTTTACGATGTTTGTATTGTGTTATTGTTTAAGGTCCCACTTTATATTAAGTGGCCTTAACTACTATGTACTTACATCAAAAAAATAAATACAGTGTACTTATTGTATTGCAAAACACTTTTGCTGCTATTGAGGTGGGAAACGGATAAGGTTAGGGACAGGTTTGGTAGTATGGGTAGGATTAAGGGTGGGTTAAGGTGTAAGGGATGGGTCAACAGTGTAATTATAATTACAGATGTAATTACATGCAGGTATTTTTAAAATACAAGTACAATGTAAAAGCATGTATGTACACAATAAGTGCATTGTACCAAATGATTAATTTAAATGTAAGTACATAGTAGTTAATGCCACTTAATATAAAGTGGGACCTTGTTTAATACTGATTTTCTCTCTGGAATGGGAAAAATTCAGTCAGACTATCTATTTCTGTTGTCAGAGTTTGTGGTCGGTAAGATTAAAAAAAAATAAAAAATGAATACTTGTATTTAGCAAGGATGCATTCAAGTAAATACTTTTACATTTTTAAATATATGCAGTCTTTGAACTTTCTGTTCAATAAAGAATCATTTAAAAAATTGTTCCATACCCATGTTTTTGTCAACATTGATAATAACAACAAGTGTTTCTTGAGCAGCAAAATCAGCATATTACAATGATTTCCGAAGGATCATGTGATTAAAGACTGGTGCGATGATGCTGAAAATTCAGATTTGCCATCACAGGAATAAATGACATTTTAAAACATATTTAAAAAAATAACATGCATTTTAAATTGTAATAATATTTCACAATATAGCTGTTTTTCTGATCAAATAAATGCAGACTTTGTGAGCAAAAGATACTTCTTTCAAAAAAAAAAAATCTTTCCTATACCCAAACTTCTAAACATATAAATACGGAAAAAAGATAAATGTTACCCAGCATGGCACAAGAAAAGTGAAGACAGTCATGACTGATTCCCTTTATCACCATGACATTGACTTCATTTACTCATCCTCTTGTTGTTCCACATTCGGCCTAAAATCTAGTTTTGCTTTTTAACAAAAATTATATAGAGTCTGACCACGGTGACAGTAGTAGTTAAGGTGCCTTTCCATTACAGATTTGCACAAAAATATATGTCGATTAAAAGCTATTGCGAAATGATGACGTTTCCGTTAACCGATATTATGCGACTGAAACGTAATTTTTTTCCTCTTGGAATAAGTCATGACGACCGATGTTGCTAGGTTTATGTATACCGCAGCCACTGCACTAGCCATTATTTTTAATTGATGAAGACGTAGACGTGTATTTTTAGCAAAGCAGCACGGAGAGCCGGTATAAACATAAGCACTAGAGTGGCCACAATCAATGTGAAAAAAACGGTTTCCGTTGCAGTTTTGCGATATATTCCTTTTTCGAATTGCCTGAAAAACCACCTCATGTGAGCGTAAAAGAGCGTTTTTGCTGCGATTCCATTAGGTGTATTTTCAATTCGCAATTTCAAGTTTGCACAATTTGAAGGGTAATGGAAACGCGCTTAGTGAGAAATTTTTGAGAACTAGTGCTGGTAGTAAATACTAGATTTTAAATGTTTTAAAAAGGTGACATATCATGAAAATCGGACTTTTCCAGGTTTTAAGTGCTATATTCAGGTCCCTGGTGCATCTACCAACCAAGGAAACGTGAAATGAACCCAATCACTTTGTTTAGGTAAGCCTTTTTCTGCAAGCCTTTTTCTGATTTCGCTCCCTTGGTGACGTGGCAAAGGGATCTCATTATAATATTGCCGCCCCTTAATCTGTAAGTTTCCACCCACGGCGCCGTCATTTTGATTTCGCAAGCGACAACGGTGTACCAGTTCTAATGCTATGGCGAAAGTTTGAGCAAAACATGCTAACTGTTCTGTCTTTGTCTGCACAGACGAGCACAGAACACTGTTTAGAGTCCCAGCCTCAGAGGAGACAACAGAGCAGTGGATTTATTGATGTATTTACTGTATACTGCAGCTGCCACACAGATCAAAAATAAACAAGCGATTTATTTCCTAGCTGTTTTCCTTCACAGACATAACCGACTGTTTTTGTAACTCGTGTGTTTTTAACGTAAGCTTGTGTGTGAATGAGAACTTAGTTTAGTACTC